TCCCTGTATGGGACTGGGGTGTCCCTGCGCTGGTTTCCCATCAGGGTGGGCAGGTTTTGGCTCCTCCATCCTGTTGGTGGCAGCCGGGGGGGCTGCAGCTGTGGCGCAGCCTCCCGCAGGGCTGGGGCTGGCTCCCCCAGAGAGGCTGTCACGGCAAACGACAGCAAGCAGGGCTAGAGACCATCATCCAGCTTGGTTTGTCCCCACTGGGGAGAGCTTTGCTGTCTTGGCCCCGCCGTGGGAGACATCCTTGGAGCAAGCAATTCCAGGGAGCAGGAACACCAAGGATTTCTAAGCCCCTAATTAAAAAGAGTAGTTGGTTTAAATACCAGAATTCCCTCGCTGGCTTGAGGCTCTGGCTCCATGTCAGCTGCTGAGGCCCATTGCTAATGTGTGAGCGTGTCCCGTGGGGAAGCAGCCACAGGCGTGGGAGCTTCGGAGTGCTCGGTGGGATTTTTCCCTTCCCCAAGGCTGGGGTCCTACCCTTCTCCATTAATTTTCCCTCCCTCCCCACTTCCTCGGCAGCACCCTCCACTGTCCCCATCATGCACCAGGTCAGCGCCACGATGAGGAGCATCACGCTCTCCTGGCCGCAGCCCGAGCAGCCCAACGGCATCATCCTGGACTACGAAATCCGCTACTACGAGAAGGTGAGCCGCATCTGCACACCTGACATCGGCAGCACCGTGGGCTCCAGGCCGGCCGCGGTAAGCTCGGGTGGAAACCTGGCGATGGAGGGTGGGCTGGGGGCACGCGGAGCTTCGGACCACGCTGCCGGGGAGGGGCGTGGGTCCTGGGCTTGCTGGGAGAAGGGGAGCATCGGTGAGCTCTGCATCAGGCTCTTTGCTGGGAAGGGTCCGGGTGGTGGGACAGGAGGTGGGACAAGTACCAGGTGGCCCGTGCTGGCTCCAGAGGGTGGGGAGCAATGTGCAGCCAGAGGAAGGGGAGTGATGTTGCGGCTCCAATTGCTGATTCCTCCCCCTGTGGCAGTATTTTCTCCAGCACATCAGTGCCTGTCACTGCCTTGGCTCTGATATCTGATGGGGTGAGCAGGGACCCGGAATGTGGGGACAGCGTCAGGAGGAAAGGAGGGGGCTGGCGAGGACCAGGGAAGGTCATCCGGCTTGTCTCTGTCCTGGGTCACTGCCTCCCGGCAGCTCCTTCCCTGGCAGCCGTCCGTCCCTGCAGGGGACACGCTCTCAACCCTTGCGGTGAACCGTGCCGAGCCCAAGCTGTTCCATCCCTCCTGCGTCTTGCCAGCTTTAATGAATTCCTCTAAATGGGAATAATTAGATGAGCTCACCAGTGGCCCCTTTACAGCGAGTCACCGGGGAATGTTGCAAAAAAATGAGATTGGAGACGCATGAGGTTCCCAGCAGGGTTTAGCGCAAGGACCCCTGCCAGGAGGGCGGGGGCTGGGGGCTGGGGCTCTCAGCAGAGGGACGTTGCCCTTCAGCCTGCTCGAGCGGGGTCTCGTAGGGTGCAATATGGCGTTTCCATAACTGCACGGCGGTTCTGAAACGTGCAGGGACATCCCTGGTCTGAAGAGGAGGAATTTGCTGCTCACGAGTGTTTGTGTTCTGGATGGTCTTGTTGTTTCCCCCCGCTGCTCTCTGCTCTTTGCCGTGGTGGGACTGGGGGGCTGCCGGGGAGGCACGTACTGCAGGGACCCCCCCAGCTCCCCGGGGCCAGGCAGAGCTCCTGGG